TATTTTCTGACATTTTATAGAAAATAAATTAATAAAAACCAAAGCAAAAAACACGATGGTCAGATTGAGCGATAAGGAAAGTAGTTCCAATGGAAGCTGATGACAGAGAGTAACGAGGACACTGTCTCAGGAAACAGAGGTTGCTGTTGAATTTAAGGTGTAAATTAATGTCTCTCTGTTGTATTGGGCTGAAAGAAGAAATCTCACTGGTTGAAATCTTTAAAAACTGGGCAAATAAAACCCAAATTATTCACGAATGAATGAAAAATTATGTTTATTTCATGTGATTTGGGTGAACTGACCCTTTAATAAAACATTTTTTTCATATCTAAACAATTAGCAAGCAGATTTCAAAGACTATATATGTATTAACACTAAATATCCTCTAATATTCCACCTCTACACACAGCTGAGGCTGCAGTATGCCTCATTTCCTCTAGAGGGCAGCAGCAACCTGCATTAAAGCACAGCTGCATTGCTATACTACAGAAACAACCAGCACCCCGCCCCCGCGAAAGGATGCTGATTCCTGGGTCAGGTTCAGACTAGAATTTGCAATGCAAAGTTGATTTTGGTGTTGACATGCTGATTCCTGGTCTGCACGCTCGCTGAAACACGCAATTATCTCCACATAAATGTTATACGGCGCACGCACGCACGCAGGAGGGTGACTGCTGTGTCAGGACAAAATGCAAATCATCAGTGGGGAAATAATGATGGGTACCCTCTCGCATAACACAGGAAGAGAGTGAGGAGGGTGGGGTGAGGGCAGGTCTTCACACACACACACACACACACACACACACCCGCTGGGGTTTTCCTGCAAACTCGTCGAACAAGGAAAGCTACATTTCACAGGGCGGAGCCTTTTGGAAACCGCAGCGAGTTTCTGAGCTGAAAACAAACAAAGTGAGCCAGCAGGAAACAGCGACAGGTCAATACAGAGGAGCAAGCTCACAGTTAGCGGTGTGGTAACGGCGCTCTGCAGGGGGAGGGGTTCACCACCTGCGGCCTGCGTTTCAGCCTCTCTGTCATTATCTGCTTGTTGTCATTTGCTTTAAAAAAGAACCTCAAATTATCTGAGGGGGGTAGTGAGATCTTAAAAACACACATTTATTGATCAATGGAAGGTAACGTTGGACTGATGATCCACCACTCTGGTCCAGACTGAAACGGTTCAATGGACTCTTTCTACAGACATTCGTGGCTCCCAGTCGATGGGTGAACGAGGTGTTCTTAATACTGGAACAGGAGCGGTTTCTCTCAGCCCTCTATAGTGGACTCAAAGACCCTCAGAGAGTAGGATGTACACTATGTTTCGTGTGTATTTTTCTGTTCAATCTAAAGTTTGTTGCTGTCTCCCTCGAGGTCGACACTGAAGAAAGTGTGGAAACCCTTCTCCCGAACCTCCCCCAACATCACGTCCCTGTCTGCGGCGGCTCTCCTTTCATAATCACGTTACTATAAATACCAACACTTAGCGGAGAGAAAGAAAGGTCATAATCCATTCTGTGATCCGGTGGTTAATGTAATGGTTTCAGCAGAAGGGCCTGAGAGCCTGAGAGTCCGCCCTGGCTGCGCGTCCACTGGGAACCTCTCTTCAAAGCTCCGGCTTCATTTTGTCATTATACCGTGCAGCTCCAAAAACCGCTGAGTGCTCGGCGTGTTTTTAGTTTTCCTACTGTTCTGGGTTCAGAGTAATCAGATGTGATATTTTCTGACATGGACTAAAAAAAACCTACTTTACTCTCTCACCTGTTAGAACAGCGGTTCAACCCACACAAGGTCTCCGGTTCGCTATTAAAGTGTTGAACCAGCAAAACGGAGCTGATTTTAAGTGAAATATCTGAAGGTGTAAATCCGTGTGTATTTCATCCACTACTGTACCATTATGCAAATATATTCTAGCAGACATGGCACGGTTGCATAATTAATGGAACACCAGTAACACAGTTAAAGAAGTTATGTAATTTATATTTGTATTTTGGGCTTTCTGGTGGAGTGGAGGCTGCAGCACCTGGAAGAAGAAGCGAGTACAGTATCTATGTCTTTTTATTGTATCTCTGGTATTTCTACTTTGTATGTTTATGCAGGAGTCAAACAGCAATATCTGCTGCACTGTGTTGTTTTATATTTCAGCTCATATGTTAGCAGTTAGAAAAAGCTGAACCGTGGATGTATGATGGGAACTAGATAATGGGTTTGAAGATGGCTCCTATTCACTCACCTAACGCACAAACTGAAAAAGCTTTTTCCTCTTACTGGTTTGCACTACACGAGTACTGACGTCTCTTCCCAGAGTCCGCCATCCTCCCACAATGAGATGAGTTCACACAGAGATAAACAGATTTTCTAGGGTCTGAGAAGGCAGCAAATAAATATTAATAGATTTATAATTCACGAGACAAAAAATGATGGATCTCGTAAGTGATCCAAGGTTTCAGTTTTGTAGATGTCTCTTTATTAAAGGGACTCTATGGGGAGATGCATAAAGGTCAACCTGTGAGTTTCTGACCTCTAGTAGCGCTACAGAGCAGTTTCTCTATGAGTGGGTTCCTCTTTAGTTTGTCTGGCGTCGCAGTACACATTTTTGCCAATGGTTTCACATTATTCCACTGATCTAAAGGCAGATTTAATGTGGCAAGAAAGGCAGCGATGCACAGGAAACGGGCGGAGAGGAGAAGAGGTATTGCTGGTGTAAATGGGTGTAAACACAACGCAGGTTTCAAATGTCAAAAATCTGCCTCAAGGATACACAAAAGGTGTTTCTGAGAGTGAAACTGAATGTTCGTTGAAAAGAAGAAGAACTCCTTAGGGAAGATTTCCTGGAGCTTAACGGACAAACTCAAAAGTTCTCCGATAGAACCGACATGGAAGAAAACTCGAAACAAACAAAAAAACACACAAGCAACAAAACTGAAAACGCAGATGGCGACCAAGATTGTGATTGTGCAGAGGTATGTAGAATGAATTCTTGTGGTTTAGGAGGAATGTAATATAATGAGGTGCGTCTGTGCTGCTCAGATTCCTATGACGGTTGATTAGAATATGAAATGAGTCACACATGGTTGATGTTGAATGGCACTTGGTCTCACTGTGTGTCATTTAAAGGAGAAATCACAATTAATACGCTTTAAACTCATTAAAAGGCCTCAGAATGTGTCCAAAGCTCACATTGGACTGTAGGTTTCAGCTAGAGCCGGATCACATGACGCTAAATCATACAATATTTTCTAGCTGAATATTCCCACAATGCAATGCCAGAAGAAAAGTCTGCGAATAAAAGTTTACACAGCACTAAACTATGTGTTTTTATGCTACATATAGCACACTGAGACCCAAACATAGGATGTGAGAGGACACGTCCACATAGAGACAGAATAGACACAGGAATGACATCATGTCTCTATTACACACCCACCCACCCCCACACACACACACACACACACACACACAGCTGCTCTCTCTAATAGCCAGGCTAGCTCCCTGGGGGGAGCGAACTGTGTGGGAGCACCTGGCCATGATACAAAGGAATCTGGTGGGGTGGTGTGGTGTGGTGGGTGTGGGTGTAGGTGGTGTGTAGGGTGTGTGTGTGTGGCTGTGCTGTAGTGGGTGTGGGTTGTGTGTGGTTTTGTTGTTTCCAGGATTGCTGGCTGCGGCTCTGAAACAACACAATAAAATATTACATTTCTTAATTAAAATCAGTGGATGCAACGACCAACACACAGGACAGACAAGCAAATGGGAATACACAATTTTGGGGGAGAACACACACACACACCATAAACACGCAGTTACTTACTTGACACCGGGAATGTCCAGCATTTTTGCTGAGTCCCTGGGTCAGTTGCAATGTCAGCAAACTGACAAGGAGAACGAAATATGAAATGAGACATTAACGTTTTCTTCACTGGAGAGCTCGTGTTTCATGATATTTATAATAAAATTGTCTCGTTTTATCTAGGTTGGGGTGTAAGGAAGAATTTCTGTTCAGGGTATTAAAATGCCTTCATCGTATTCTCATCAGCTCCTCACCGCCGCTCATGACTCAAGCAGGAGCAGCCGGAGGAGCTCAACTCTAATTCAATCGACCGGATAATCAATGACGGCCGGGCAGATTGGGGGTAGCTTCATACCGGACATTGAAGTATGCGGTACCGGATACCACATCTTCACTGGTCTGTAGGATATCACATTAACAAATAAACAGCTGTTAGGCATGCTGCAGCAGATGAGTCCAAGAAGAAG